ACAAGCTTCCGCAGCCATACCTGCTGGTCCCTGGATCTACCGTGTTTTCACTGGTCTGTGCCTTTACCCTCTGCTTGGAGTAGCCTTCCCTTTGTTATCTGTTGAAATCTGATTCCTACTTGATGGCCTCCAGGATGCATCATTTTTAAGCTGCTGATGTTCAGCAAATTATTACCTCATCTGTGTCCCCACAGCTAAGTGAATCTGTTTGTCACCCTCTTGTATTTTGGCTAATCGTGAATATCTGAGCATGTGAGGCCTTTGAGGGAAGGGGTCGGTAGCCTGTTGATTTTTAGCCCCTTGTGCCTAGCTCGGTGCTTGGCAGAATGCAAATGCCTGATGTATGTGGAGATTCCTGTTATTTTTGATGGTGCTGTGCTTTTCATTGTAACTAATATGGTTGGGACAAAGAGGGACCGGCCTGACTGAAACCCAGGAAGGGTGCAGTGCAGCTGGAAAGATGCGCGGTGCTGGTAGGGTGTGGTCATCATTACAGTCCTTGCGGTGGGGCCCGTGGTTATCGGGTCGCAAGGCTGTATCCCCGGGTCCTCTGGGCGCCGGTCACGCTAGATCTGGCCACCAGGTGGCACCCGTGCTCCACGAGTGCTGGACACAGTGCTAAGCGTGGGCTCGGGCTCCGCTGGGGGACGGTGACCGGTCTCGGGAAGACCGCGGGGACGCAGTGAGGTTCGACCCTATACCCCGCCGTGGCCAGGGTGGCGCGGGATCAAGGGCCGCAAGGCAGCACTCTGGCCCGCTCCCCGCTCTCCTAGCTGCCAGTGGACCTCCGTTCTCTCCGCGCCTCTGTGCGGGTCTGCATGGAGTACGGCTCTACGCTCCTCCCCAAGCCTTTATTTGTGTCAATCTGCTTCCTGCAGGCTGGGTTTCCAAGGCCGCCTGTCTGGCCTTGGTGGGGGCCGGCAGGAGGTGCCAGAGGCGGCAGGGCTCAGGCCGGCGGGACCCAGAGGACTGTCAGCCCCCTCAGGCACAGAGTCACCCGTGGCGTCTGCTGGGGCGCCCAGGCCTGGGAAAATGGGCTCTCCGGTCCCACTGCCCTGCCTCCCTGCGCCCAGCCCCACCCTTGCAAGTGCCGCACATCTGCCTGTCCATGTTATTTGTGACCAGCTAAGGACTGGCTTTTCCTCTTGAGTAACAGATGACTTGCAAAAAATGGCTGTCCTGGTAGGTTTCGGGGAGATTCAGAGGAGCCTCTACAAAGAGGACACCCAGCTGCGCCCAGGCAAGTGCGCTGGGCGCCTCCGCGCCTGCCATGTGTGCCCTCTCGCCTCTGGGGCTGTGACTCAAGTCCCTGTCCGCAGCAGAGGCTCCCCTCCCGGGCCTCGGCTCCGGGCGCCCAGATTCCCGTCCCTGGCGGAGGGCACACGGCCCGTCTGGACTGCCCACTTTCCAGTCAGAGGCTGTCGGGACCTGTTAGGTCTCATCCGGAAGCCAGAGCGCTCCCTCCAAGTGTGTGTCAGCCCGTGGAAACAGAGGCATTCCGTCTGTCTGCTGGGCTCGAGCACAGAGAGGCAGTGGTCAGAACGCCATACAGCCATGTACTTACGTGTTACATCAGCCACAGCGTGCAGGGCTCCAAAGGGATGCTTTTGAGGTGCTTATGGTGCCTGGACGACACAGGACGTATGGTCCTCACCCCCGCTCCTGCCCCCGCCCTCCCCACCCCGTCTCAGTGTCACGGTGTCACGGTGGAGAATGCCGCACAGGAGGAGCCAAACCAGGAAGGCTTCTGCCCCGGGGTCGGGGATGGAGGCAGGGAGGCACGGGGAGCTCAGGAGTGTTGTCTTGGGTGCAGGGGTGTGGCAGGGTGGCCCTCACGTGCTTTGCACAGGAGCTGGGAGCTGATGCCAGAGCCCAGTGCTCAGGGGGATATTTGAGCCGGTGAATTCTACACCAAAATGCATCTCGGGAAACAACTGGACACATTGTTTCCTTCCAAACTCTAAGCAGGGCAAAGCAGTTTTAGAACTTGAGACGAATCTGCCCCTGCAAACAACTGGGCCTTCCGCTGCTGCTGATCTTCAGGTGTCATAATTTTGTAGCCAGCAAGCTGCCTGGTTCCTACTCGTGGGAGAGTCACTACCTCCCTGAGAACCTCAGCCTGAAAGGGCCCGGAAAGGGGCAATTCTTTTGCATCCGTAAAATAAGCACCAGCCTCTCTGCCTGCACTGCCCCCCGGAGGTGGTGTGAGACGAGACGACGCCTGAGGAAGGGGTGCCTCCAAGAGCGCGGTCCACTGGTGGTGCTCACGCATTAACCTCACGCTTGAGTCTGGGCCCAACACCCTTGTTTAATGAGTTTCTTAGCCTGCATTTGAATCTCACTTGGGCCTCCTTGAACTACAGTACTTTTACCGAAGTCCACAGGGTCCCAAAGATTTTTGAAGTTGCCAGGGAGTGAGGGCATCTTACAAACACTTCTGCCTCCGTGGCATTGATCCAGGCAAGAAACTCAGCCCCTTCCTCAAGTTGTACATTAGGTACCCTGTTCTTATAGTTTCCTGGCATGAAATTGTCACTGGGTCAGAGTCTGGGCTCAGCCCTGCTCTGGGGGGAATTTCACTGTCTAGACCTAGGCTTACTCTTAATTCCCCCACTTTTTCGCCCTCCAGTCTCCTCTTCCTATTTCGTTCCCTCCCCCTACAACAAGTCGCCCTTTTTCTCACAGGGCTACTTCAGCCAGTGGCTTTGCAGCTGTCTGTCCCACCTGCTACCCTCAAGTGCCTGTCAAAGTGTTTTTCCAAAACAAAAGCAGTTTCCTCCCTAAGAGGAACTCAGGGCCAGCTGTTAAGATGACAGCATTTTCATCTGATCGTTGGCATCCCAGAATCAAAAAGTGGTTTCAACAGATTTGATGTTGGGAGCAGATTTGAGATGGGAAAAATAACTGACAGTTTTGTTGGAAATGAAATTATGAAGAAAAATCAGGAATGACATGGAGGGGAAGGGATGAAATTCTCCCAGAATCTGAGCAGCCCTTGACTAGCTGAGACTGAAAGAACGTGAATGTACTTCTCAGCTTAACACCTAATCCTCCAGCCCCACAAGGTCTGGGGGTGGGGAGCCCTTCTGAGTTCTGAGCCCCTGCAAGCAAAGGTTCCTGGAATGAGTGGAAGTTGGGGCTCTTCTGGACACTCGGAGACATAGGGAAACCAGAGTTGGAAGGTACAGAGTGGGACCTGCTGGGATGGACCCTCCTGGGCCAGCATCAGGGCTGGACTGAATGCCTACATGGCTTACTCCTCCCACTGGGCGATCACAGAGTGATCCCCCGTTCTCCCAAGCAGGCCAAGGTTGAGGGACCCTATTCTGGTTCCCCACAGCTGGCTGGCTATCCAGTCATAGCCCGTCATTGTCACAGTATAATCACCTGGTTACCTGCCAGCAGGCACCGCACCAGGTTCCTGCTCTGTACCTGGTACTCTGAAGCTGTGTGATTGTGTGATAAATGTGTGAAGAAGGAAGGAAGAAATGGTTGGATTCCAGGCTGGGGGTCCTGGGTTTGATTTCTGCCTTCTTCACTGCCGTACTCTGACGCCTCTGGCAAGCCTCTAAATCTCTCTAAAACTTCACTTTCCTTAGACTGGAACAGAAGATAATGTCTGTCTTGAGGGGAGGATACAGGATCTAATGAAACAGGTGTGAAAGTGCTCGGAAAGTTGAAAAGACAAGGAGCACAATGATCAATCGGTCGGAAACTCACAGGATGTTGCCAGCAACGTCCTCATTCTGGTGCTTGGCACCTGGTGCCGTGTCCCACGTGGGCTCATGCTTCCGCCAGGTTCCCCGAGACCTGCACTTTCCTGTTACTTCACTTGGGTACATGGAGATCCACAAGGGTGAACCGCCTGTCCAGAGCCACCCCTTCCTGCACCCACTTCCCCCTTGTGCCCTTTCGGTCCTGTTGAGGCCACTTGTGGGCCCCAGGCTTCTGCCCTTGTCTCTCCCACACGTGTGGGCGATGGACCTGACTACAGGAGGGAAGAACTCACACTTGACATGGAGCAAATGAGGGCTGGAAGAAGGAGTGAGCGGTGAGGGCCGGACTGGGACACTAAACTCTGAGTGTGTGTGTGTGCCCTCCCGGTCCCGTGGAGAGCAGGGTCACGGCTCTCTTGTGGAAATCTCACCCAGAGCCAGCTCATTGGAACGAAACATGTTCCTAGCGCTCTTATCAGTTAGGAGTTCACAAGGGGTTCAGGGTCAAAGACCAAATATTAGAACAGCAGATGCTCCCAGTGATCCTATTACTTAAGACTTCCTAAGGGTTTTAGAAGATCTGTGTCGGGAACTGGGGGAGAACAATAAGTACATTTCTTGTTATTTTGCAGGCTGTCGTGTGGCTGGCTCAGGGGTTGCAGTACCTCTCCACTCTCTGCCTTGGCTCATGCTGTTTTTTCCCTCCACCCACACGGCCTTTTTTCCCCAGCTTCAGGTGCCCAGCTTACAGTGCCTAATTTGCTTCCATTTCTCCTACTCATAGTACAAAATACAGCTTGGATGTTCCCTCCTTGAAGTCTCCTCTAATTGTGTCTGGGCTGCAGTTACAGTGTCTGGCGCTCTGGCAGCCCTACCATGCCCTATGGCACTGCTGCCCAGATGACTGGCCCTCCAGGCCCACAGCTCAGCTCCAGCGAGGGGCCTGGCACTTGGCTGGTGTGGGTGACCGAGTTGAATGCGGCATAAAAGGGCCCACCCCAGCAAGCTTGCCCTGCACTGACAGGTCTGGAGCCGGCAGAGCAAGCCCAAGCCACCCTTCCTCAAATGAAAGACAGGAAAGCGACTTGTGGAGGTTTCCTTTGTTTCCCGTGTGGAGCAGGATGCACATTTTTAGTGCTGTGAGTTCTCAGCTGAAGGGTTTTACCTTATCAGCAGTATCCATTTCCAGCATCTCTTTAAATGCTAATTAGAGTCTCACCCCAGGGACATCTGGCAGATTCAGCTTCACTCTGAATAATTTTCCTCCTCTTTGTGCAGAGATGCAGGTTTGGAGCCTGCGTTACCGGGATGCCTGTGCAGCCCTCTGATCTGCACCCAGAGCTGTGTCCCTCGGATTCCCTCCACCCGCCACCTCAGCAGCTCGCGCTCTTGCTTTGAGAAAGGGCTGCTCCCGGCGCACCTCCCTGTGAGGAAGCGGGGGTGGAGATGAAAGTGAGTAGCACTGACTCATCTAATCTCCATGAGCACCTTTTCATGTCGTTTTTACCCCCGTTTTAACCGATGAGGAAGCCGAGACCCAGAGAACTTTATTATCTTGTCCGCAGTCACAAAGGCTACGTGGCAGCGGTGGGATTCAAACACTACCCTGGGTCCAGAGTCCACAGTACTGCCCAGACGAGAAAAATCACCACCTGCGCTTTATTGAAGGCTTCTAAGGGATAGGCTCTGTGCTAAATAATATGCCAAATAATGCTTCGCACATATTAACTCATTTACTCTATATGAATGCCCACAGAACCCCCTGAGGAAGCTATTATCAGCCCGGTTTTGCAGCAACACCAATAAGAGAGGTGATGAGGGCACGCGGGACTACTGAAGGGCCTCACCCACGTGTCTGACCCGGAGCCCTCTCTCTGCCTATGCCTCCCTCTCTGCCCAGCGTCTGTCATTCACTTTAAGGCTGAGCTGTGTTCAGATTGCCCTGTAGTGCAGGTATCTGTCCCAGTAGGAGAGAGATGGGACAGCAAGCGGCCAGTCTCAGGCCCTGCTAGGGGGTCTCTGTGGACCCTGGGTCTGGCACTGGAAATCTGTCAGGGAGCCATGTGGCTCTGGTCTGATGGACTGTAGCTCTAGAAACACTAGGTGAATTGACTTTTCCTTTGTGTGGGCTGCGCTTCCCACCTCCTGGTGTAGGGATATATTTGTATCACTCGCCTAAATTACAGCAGTGCTTCCTAATGGGCTTCCAGAACCTCTCCTGCTCCCCTCCAGCCCTTTCACCACACAATAGTCAAAATGATCCCTAAGAAATACAAAGCTGATGAGGTCACTTGTCTACCTGAAAATAAGCTGCAGAGAGAGGCAGATGACATTTATTTGGGATCAAAGAATTGCAATTTGGGGAGCACAGATTTAGGTAGAAACCCAAATAGTGTCCCAGGGGTTTTTATGAGGAGAAGGAAGGGGGTCAGTTACATGAATGGAAGAAAACAAAGGTTTCTGTGTGTGTTAAGGAGCTAGCCTGCTCTGGGTTATGCCCGACTGACTGCTCTTCTACCTTCAGAATCCATGACCATCGTCATGATAGGACATCTGGCCTGCTGACTCCTCGTGCAATTGCTTAAAACAATTGCCATTTTGCCTTGTCCGATGGTTTGGGCCAGGTTCAAACAAGGGCAAGTAGGGCAGTTTCTCTGCAGTGCCTGCTCTGGGTCTATTTTTAAATGGCTCTAGCCTTGCCAATCTTTCATGCACTCACTCCTTGGGCATACGTCCGTGGTTCCCATTGCTCTTGAGATAATGGCCCAGATCTTTAACATGACCAGGGCCTGTCTGTCCTACCCATGTCTCAGCCACCCTCATGTTTTATTTTCTTGGTTTGCGCCTTTCCCCCTTAGGACCTTTTGCTCTTGGTAGAACTTTCCTCTCAGATACTCTCTATGCTATGTCAGGCCTACTTCCTTATCTTTTAAATCTGGAATTAAATGTCCCTTCCTCAGACAGCTATGCCTACCTCCTGCAGAGCTACACCAGTTCCTCTCATAGCTGCTTGTAGTTCTCCTTGCTGTTATTCACATCACTTACCATCACATCTCCATTAGTGTAAGCAGTGGCTCAGTGGTGATTCCCCCTGGGAGTGTAGTAGGCCCCCACATGGGGCAGAACCCTCCTTGCCCTGTACTCCAGCACCCACCATCATGCTTTGTGCAGAGTCAGCCTTTTACAGATATTTGTTGAATAAAAGTTAAATGGTAAGGACTGGGTTCTTCACACCTTCGAAGCTATTTTCTACAGACACCTGAATTTCCCAAGCCTGATTTTGCAGAAGCTCTACTCTGAACATCAAGGGCTTTGGGAGACCCACAACTGGAAAGAATTTCTGCTGGTAATTAAATTATGGCTAATGAAATAAGTGACATGTTCTGTCTCACTGCTTACACATCTGGGACTGTGTATTGCATACTTCTGGCCTCAATCAAAGTCTCGTGGAAAATATTCTTCCCCTCCTTCAGAGAATCATAGGGCTCTTGAGGAGGCACTGAGAGGGACAAAGGGGAGGGAACCTGCAGGTCCTGTAGCTCTGCCTTCATCCTGTCACAGCTGAAGGAGCGCAGAGGAGGAAGATCTGGGTCTCGACAACCAGATCATTTTAGACTGTAGAAATGTACCTCACAATACACTGCTAATCTTCTTAGCCCTTGGGAGAGGCAAATAACAAGAAAGCAATTGGATTTCAGGGATTTAGGCTAAACAGTATCTCCCAGCTGTCCCATGGTTAATACAGTTTCAGTGCCATTTTCTTCTTCTCCAGCTACAATCAGGTGGGGAGAACTGATGCTCTTACCCACTGAGGCAGGGAATTAAAATCATACTGGATTCACAAAAGTTTTACATTCTTCTTGCTAATTCTTACGTCAGTCACTCAAGAAATCAGTATTCATTTTATACAGAGGGGACCCAGACACAGTCCTTGTCCTTGAGGTGGAGAAAGGAGGAGGGGACTCTCAACAGGGCATAATTATGGGTTTGGAGGTTCTGTCATAAAACATACCCCACCTTCTACTACATATGTGTATCTCTTAGGATAGCTGGGCCTTACTGGGTTGTCTCCTGACAGCATTAGTCAATTTAATCTATAGGAAAAGGTCGTGCATGTTGAGTGACAGCTCTCTGAAGATATTCTCAGTGTCAACCACCTAAGGAAGAGGTAGCTTCTCAGCAAAGTGAAACTTTCAGAGCATTAGGCGGGGAGAGAGGGAACATCTGTCTTTCGGGAACATCTGTCTTTCTCGGGGCCTCTCTTGGTTCTACTTTTAAGACCTTAAGATGTCTAGGCTCACCTGCGAGCACTTACCATGTGTCAGGCTTGGGGTTGTTAGTTTGTATAGTACTTCTTTTAATCCTCCCAGCCCTAACATGGAAGTTCTCATCTCCATTTTTGCAGAAAGAAGACTGAGACTCTGAGATTGAGAGTTTCATAGCTATTAAGGGGCCGTCTTGGGATTCAAAACAAGATCTTTTTTTGGCACACAGCCTGTGCTTTTATCCATGGAGCTATTACGCATTCCTGGTGATGGGTTCGAAGCAGTGATGTGCTGGTAACTGTTGAACAACTAGTTCTCAAAAATAAATGAACATTGCCCTGATCTTTGCTGATTTCTATGCTGATTTCCCACCATGGCCAATTTCAAGCTACCAACAGGAAGACAGTCACTGAACAGGGAGCTGGGAAAAGATGCACCCAGTTGAGCCAGCTCCAGCACACCTCCGGAGTGGAGTCACCCACAGCACAGAAGCTGGAAGCTTCTATGGGATGGAGCCAAAAGCTCTGGATAAAGCCTGTTTGTTGAGCTGAGTGCAACTTTGAGAGCTAGTTTATTTAGCTTACGTATTGCTCTTTGTTTTCCACAAGCCTTCACTGAAGCCCTGAACCAGTGCCTCTCCTTCCTCAGCTCCACTGCAAGGAATTCCTGAAATCAGGGAAGCCCACCCTCACCCAGCCCCATCGGTCCCCCGTGGTGTGGTAGAGATGCTTAGGGAGACATCCCCAGGGGCACAGGGAACCTTGGGGGGTAGGGGCTGTGGCTGTCCCTCCTCTCATGAAAGTCTTCTTGCCTTTGATTAGTTAAGGGAAATGGCAATTTTCACCTAAAGAAGCTTTGAAAATACTCTGAGATAATTGTAGTCTACCTCCTTTTTCATGTATGTGGCCACCTCTTGACCTTTGACCCCAAGGTCATGCTCACCCTTGTTTTTCCACTACTATCAGTTTTCTCTTAAATGTGTGATGCTTGGATCATCTGTATTATAATCATCTAGTGCATGATGAAAATGCAGATATCAGGCCCAGAAATCTGCACTTAAACAGCTCTCCAGTTGTTGATGATTATGTTCAGTGTTTGAGAGCTGTTTCTTTAAGCTATATTTCTCATATGTCTCCAGCAGAATTGGAAGTTGTGGTACTGTGATTCACAACAAATGGACATTTGGTCATTCAGATGACCAAAATGTGTTCCCCATACGTATTTGTTCTTCATTCTCAGTCCCTGGCTCACAACTCCCAAAATCATTGGAATTTCTTAAGTGTTGGGAATGACGAAGCTGTCCTTTGTTGTGTTAATGAGGTGACTCCCAGAAGGCACCTAAGGATGGGAGCTGGTTTCCAGTAGAGCCAGTCATGTGATCAGGAGGCTGAAACTTCCAGGCCTGCCGCCTGACCTCCAGGATGGGGAGAAAGGCTGGAGGTTGAACCAGTCCCCTATGTCCGTTGATTTAACCAATCATGCCTGTGTACTGGGGCCTCCATAACCCAACAGGAAGGTGTTTTGAGAGTTTCTGAGTCTGTGACCTTTTGGAGCTTTGGGGAATGTGGCCCACCTGGAGAGGGCATGGAAGCTCTGTGCCCTTCCCCCACACCTTGCCCTATGCATCTCTTCCTGAGTTCTGCGAGCTGCTCTAACAAATTAATTGAACCTAAGGAGGAGATCGTGGGAACCTCCAGTCTGTAGTGGGTTGGACAGAAATGCAGGTAACAATCTGGACTTGCCATAGGCAACAGGCATCTGAAGTGGTGAGGGGTGGGGCAATGGAGGGGAGGGGCGGGGGCAGTCTTGGGGGCCCTGAATCTGATGCTGTCTCTGGGTCATGTCAGAATTGAGTTGAATTGTAAGATACGGAGCGCTACTTGTTGGTGTGGGGGACCTCCCCTCCAGACACAATGGAGGTGAGTCCAGGAACATATTTTGAAGCAACAGAATATTGATAAGCCTAATGTAAAAAAAAAAAGGAGTGAGAAAGAGACCTCCATGGGAAGGGTCTGCAAAGAGCTGAAATTTGAGCAGTGGCCTTTTTCTGTATGGCCCTTGAGCTAAGAATGGCTTTTACATTTTTAAAGTGTACAAAAAACAAACTGACTGCAGGAAGACTTGGCACCTATAATATGACAATGTGACTGGGGTAAACAGCATTTCTCAATCTCGTTTGAGCACAGAATTCCCCCTCTCTTTATTTTTGTTTTTTTCTTTTTTAGAGAGCATAGTGTAAAACCAGTGTTCTATGGAATGTATTCTGAGAAACACTGTTCTAAACAAATTAATTCCAATCCAGATTTAGCAATCAAGTTCCCTTGAATCTTACATGATAATATTTCCCCTTATCTTGGTCAGGAGTACCATTCTCTCTCCTGACTCTGTGGATTCAGTTCGTTCTTCTGGGCTGTCATTTAAGTCTTCTCTCCTCCTACCATCTCCTACATCAACCACAATCTTTTCCTTTCAGAATTCTTACAGCACTTTGTATTTGTTCAGTCAATCCATGACATTCTGAAGCCTCAAGGAAATTAAGGGTTCCAGAAAAAGAGTATTTTTCTGAAAATCGTAGAGCTTCCCAGTTTCGGGCATGAAAATATTATTTAACTTAATTCTTTTGGGCAGGAAACTTTTGAAGTGTACTGAATAATTCACTGGCTAATTGAAAAGAAAACACTGAATATAATTTAACTTTATTTTCATGACATGGTATAGAGAGAAGATCACTGGATGGAAAAGTTGTGTTTCCAGCTTAGTCCTACCACTGGAGAGGTGTGAGGCCTGAGAAAGTCGCATTTCCATCCTGGCTTCTGATAAAATGAGGTTTTTGGCCCAGAGGTTCTTGAAGGCTTCTCACGGCTCTAATACTTTGGAATGTTCTAGGATTGTCCAGATTTCCAGGAAGGGGAATGAGATGAGGCAGGTCCACTCAGGGTTACAATTGATTTATACCTGGTGATTTCTCACTAGCCACATAAATCAGTATTGCTAACTTGTGCTTACAATACAGATTTTTTTAAACTTTCTAACTGATACTTAATTCTCTTTGGTGAACAAAACTCAGAGTTTTACACAGCGACAGATTAAGAATCAAAGATTTTCTTAATGCTGTTAAGTGGATTTTCTTCTTCATGAGTGAGTCTGGCAAGCCTTTGATCATGGACTTGGACAGAATGCTGGTATTTTTATGCCTTTTAGAAAAAGCCCCAGCTGTTCTGAGACACTCTGTCCCTGAGGTCTCACAAATCTGATTTGATCACTCTTAATTTATTTCCCAGATAAAGCTATTGACTGTGGGAGAGTTGCTTTTTGCTTTACAGGAAGGTCATGAACTTCAATTTCATGGATTTCTATTTATTAGTTGATACCACTGGCATGCAAACCCCAACTGGGCTCTCCTGTGCCTCCACCTAGTCCATCAGCTTTGACTTTCCATCGAGGTCCCAACGGGGCGTGCTTTGGGCAGCTCTGTGTTTTTCTCAAGCTTCGGCCCACTCATCTTACCCAGCAAGTGGTAATTTTTTTTCTCCGTCTCAAAGCTCCTACAGCACTGTAAAGATTTTAGGAGATAGATTTTCTTTCTTCATTCATCCATTCATTAGACCACCCAATGTTTCTTGAACATTCGTGTTTGAACTGGGAACAGTCCTTCGCCTCAAGGTACTCCACTCTGGTGGTGAGTCAGAGGGATAAGTACACTAATAAAAGTGTGTTTTACAAGTCTTTGAATATCAGAGGAGGACCATGTACCTTGCTCAGATGGAAGAATCAGGAAAATTTCCCAGCAGTGAAGCGAATCTGTGAGTTGTGTCTGAAAGGGCAACTCAGAGTTCAGAGGAGAAAACTGCAGGTGGAGGGGACAGCATGTGCAAAGCCCCAGAGGCCTGAGAAAGCGTAGCCTGATCAGGGAGGGGGACGGGCGGGCTAGAAGGGAGGAGGTCTTAGGGCAGTGCTGGGAGAGAAGCTGGCAAAGCTGGTAGGGAAAGGGCTCCATCATCCCCTCCTGTGATCTTGGCCCTACTTCCTGTGGCCTCTTTTTGTCTTCTCTTTCAACAGAAATGGTTGAATCTTCTCTTTCTTCAACAGACACACACACACCCGACGTCACTCCACTCTGCTTTAAGCTTGCACCTCGTGGTACTTAGTCCCTTGTTTCTGAAGTTCTTCAAAAAACAGTTTGTCTTTCTTTTTTCTAATGTTTTTAATTTTTTAAAATTTTGGTATCATGAATCTACAATTACATGAGCAACATCATGGTTACTAGACTCCTCCCATCATCAAGTCCCCCCCACATACCCCATTACAGTCACTGCCCATCAGCATAGTAAGATGCTATAGAATCACTACTTGTCTTCTTTGTGCTGTACATATACACAATGGACTATTGTTCAGCCATAAGAAGAAAATAGTTAATCTTGACTTCCTCATCTCCCATTCTCATCCTGCCATTGCCATCTGGCTTGAGAAAAAGTGAGGAGTGTGTTTGGGGGCACTATCCAACTTTAAAACTTTTAAATATGAAACCTGTGAGTCAACTTTTTGGGGTTCACCCCACTGTGAATTTTAAAGAATGCCATTTTCTCTTCTTCCTTATTTATTTGCAGCTCATGGAGGCTCAGTTCCTCCTTGAATATATATTTAATTTACTTAAAACAAGTCCTCTTTTCCCTGTACGATGATAAGGGGAGGGGCGGGGGCAGTCTTGGGGGCCCTGAATCTGATGCTGTCTCTGGGTCATGTCAGAATTGAGTTGAATTGTAAGATACGGAGCGCTACTTGTTGGTGTGGGGGACCTCCCCTCCAGACACAATGGAGGTGAGTCCAGGAACATATTTTGAAGCAACAGAATATTGATAAGCCTAATGTAAAAAAAAAAAGGAGTGAGAAAGAGACCTCCATGGGAAGGGTCTGCAAAGAGCTGAAATTTGAGCAGTGGCCTTTTTCTGTATGGCCCTTGAGCTAAGAATGGCTTTTACATTTTTAAAGTGTACAAAAAACAAACTGACTGCAGGAAGACTTGGCACCTATAATATGACAATGTGACTGGGGTAAACAGCATTTCTCAATCTCGTTTGAGCACAGAATTCCCCCTCTCTTTATTTTTGTTTTTTTCTTTTTTAGAGAGCATAGTGTAAAACCAGTGTTCTATGGAATGTATTCTGAGAAACACTGTTCTAAACAAATTAATTCCAATCCAGATTTAGCAATCAAGTTCCCTTGAATCTTACATGATAATATTTCCCCTTATCTTGGTCAGGAGTACCATTCTCTCTCCTGACTCTGTGGATTCAGTTCGTTCTTCTGGGCTGTCATTTAAGTCTTCTCTCCTCCTACCA